CATCAGGATGATTCACTACAATCTCATAGACCACTATACACACAGGACATAATAACTAATCAAGTTTCAAAGAATCAGGATTATTATTGAGCGTTTCATAGATTGATAGACAGAATTCCATAAGTATTCAATTACTAGACAAACAGGATATCAACAATTTTGTTTTGATCAATAAATATAAATATCTTTGTTCTAAAAGATGTCAGTTGTGGTTGCAGTAACGTGGAAGTTAATTACCATATTTTGAAAAATTGAGTGATATGAGTATTGATCACACGAGAAGTATTAGTTTCTTCAAGATTGAGGATACACTTTACATAATTATACCAAATACCATAAAAACCTGATTTTACAGTTTTCTGCCAACAGCTTACAAACACTGAACATTGTCTAAATTAAAATATCTCCTTAATAAAGTTCTTAGTTTTGAATCTAAGTAGTAGTTTTTAATGTTATTTCAATGCCTTTAACATATTTTTTTCGAAAATAAAGAAATGCAGCATTTATAGACTGAGAAATTCTGAATAAGTAGAACAGATTAGTTCAAGTTTTTTATATTATGAAGGTAATTGTCACTCTGACTTAATGTTTTCTAGAGATTTATTGTAAATGGAAGAGCGATAGACAGATGTTTCTTCCTTGTTTGAAACTCGTTGCTAAACAAAACTACAACTTCGTCTGCAATTGAGTCTAGGATATTCAGATTTATCAGTGAGCCTAATATTATTATGAACTTATGTTCCATGAGATTAAAGGTTTAAGCGTGAACTTTCCATTTCTTCCGAAATGACATCATAAGGACAAGTGTCAGATAGGTGATTAGTTTGAATTTCTTCACAAGTTTTCGCCGATCCTGAATTCAGCTATTTCTCATCCATTATTTTCTGCAAAATTATTTAGTTCGCTTTATCCACTGATATGATTCCTAACTTTGTGCTAGTCTATAATTTTCTTAAATGATGGGTGAATTAGGTCTATTCTATTATGTTTGTTGATTGCTTACTGAGCTGAATAGAAAGCTTTGAACATAATCTAATCTTCATTATATCTTTTCGGCCTAAGACCTCATCGTTTTTGTAACTTAAAATTTGTACACAATCATTAATATTTATTGACATTAGCTTAGATATGTCGTAGCTGTTGATAATTAATAAGGTTTATGCAGACGAGAATGATATAGGCGGTCGCTTTGTTTAATGTAATAGCTTTCGCGGTTTTGGATTTTTATTTGTAGATAATGTTCAGCATGTCTTTCTTTGTCATTTCGTCTTTCATCTTGCATAAAATTCCCTGAAGTGATTATATTAGTTTGTGAACCACACTACTAACAAAGTTCAATATGTCCTTTAAATACAATAGAATAATCAACCTGTTGATTTCCGGTTATAGAGAAATTGTACTGGAACTTATCTATCCGTAGTTTTTGTTGATATTATTGTATAAAAAGACAATGAGAACTTCACTAGCAAAATATGAAGCTCAAAAAATTTAATTTTTTTCATAACCTTCCTGTTCAGTGATAAATTTTTCCAATCATGTCAATATTGTCAGAACACTGAGTTAGTATTGAGGAAAGGATATTTTCATTTTTAATTCACAAATATTACCAAATATTACAACTATATGACTAACATAATTCAAATTTCTTTATTTCAATAAAGTATAAATTCCCATTGTAGCCTAATTAAAGTTGCCTCAAGGCTAGATATTAATAAAGAAAGATTGAAATCAACTAATGAACATACAGTACAACTTAGATACAATGATTCTTGTGTCTTTCTATTCATGTATAGCATTTTTGAGGTTTTTTATACATCATAAACATAATGAAAACTAATGTAATTATAAAAGATATATATTTCCTTCTTTTGCCTTCTATGAAATAGTTAGGATAGCAATTATCTTCATTTCTAATCATTTTCTAGATTAATATATATTTATTCTTTATTTGTATTATTATTAATTATTATCATTAGTTTTCCGTTTTATAGTTTCATAATTATTATTAGAGAACTAATTGTTTTGTGATGTTCATTTTTATGCAAAAGGTTTATTCTTTTTCTGTCATTCATATTCACAAACACTTGTATATAATCTGACTAAATTATGATTATTTATGAAAACTATTAGACGATATGTATGGTTTTATTTTATGTATTATTAGTAGTTACTATGCATTGTCACTATTGTTTACTTATTGATATACTTTAACTAAAACTCAAAAAATTATAATGATTTCATAAACATCACTGAGCTACAATTGTAAATAATATCCTAGTTATACTAGTTTCAATTAACCAACGCCCCCAAATGCCCTGGAACAACCTAGGGTGAGGAGAGTTGGTTCACCCTCTCGAAATGCTTTCATATGGCTATGTGTATACAACCACTGCCAGGGAAATCCTACTCACTGTCTTCTGACCGTGAGGGTGTTGTTTACAAAGTTGAGAGGACGAAGAGCGAATGTCCAGCGCATTAGCCGGGTTGGCGGACACGGAGGATACAACTAGGGTAGTTGAAAAACCCTAATTCCAAACTCATGGTCACATGGTCTCCTGTATCCTGAAAGAATAAATGGCGTATGAACCAATCATTGATCACTAGTTACCATGGGACTGAATCTCCTGATGTTGCTCTTCTGCCTTGCGGGTCAGACCTTTAGGTCGAAGGCTCTGGGTATGACCTCCTAACAAAACCACCTGTTTCGGCCTGAGAACCCGAGCAGTATTAGAGCCCTTACGCAAATCAAGTGACTTGTATGACACATATCTATTTGGTGCCCCTTTGTACTAATACTTAAGTGTTCAAATAAGTGAATACGATTAACGAACAATATTTCCAGAAAAGTTCTTGAATTTATTTATTGAATGAAATTATAAATTTTATCAAATTATTTTTCTTTACGGGCATTTGTGTAACTATCATTCGAATAGGTATGTGAATACTGTTTGATGATGTAATTTAAGGCCTCATTAGTAATTGTCTTTCGTAGTAATACAAGTAAAGTGTTAAGTAGATAATTTAGGAAAAAATAATTTAAATCCATTTCTAAAGTGAACATTTTCAGTTTTATTACAATTATCTCAGAAATTTTATAAATAACATTATCGTCATTAAATGATATCAATCATAGAATTACTGAAAACCATAAAGCATTAGATGGTGGTTTCGATTTAGTTTGTAACTCCCTGCGACTGTACTACTATGAACGCATAGAAGATAGTGCATAGTAGCTTAAAATTATGCATTAGTTACAATATACATAAAATTTGCAACTTACGAGCTCTTTAAATCACTAAAAAACGGATCAAATAAAACTAGGTATGATATTATTTATGGAAGAGTTTGGGTTATAGATGACATGCTGTGTAAAAAACGATCCATTCTATTTTTAGTGAATAGATAAACCTATACACACAAATGAAATGGAGTGAATTATTAACTTTATGGTTATACAGAATATATATATATATATTTAGCTGCAGCAAATTCAAACAAACGTTTACAACACTTAGATTGGTGAGAAATACCTCATAATACAACTCCACTGGTACTGACATAATTACGGACGATTTTGGTGCCAAACCTGTGTGAAATGTCTATAAATAGAGTCAGATAAGATTATATACATTACGAGATAATATGATATAAAAATCATATTGTTTTTATGATCATTTCTGTTGTGTTTTATGAATTTCTCATTCAACAAAGTCAGTTTCTAGTGAAAACATTTTCATAAAGATAAACAGAAACACTTTTATACAATAAGTTAAAATGGATTTAATGCATACAAACATGAAAACTGACCACAATACGGTGCTTTCTAAGATTAAAAAAAGATTTAAACTAATGGAATGTATCACATAAAACATTAATTTTAAGAAGTTAAACTTTCTAGTGAACTCATATAGATCATTCGTCATTATTGGTGTGAAATTTATGATTATAAGTTAATTTGTCCCAGGTTTTCCTGAATAAGTAGTTTTCAGGAGGTTCTGTAGGTTAAGGAAAGTTTTCATGATAGAGATGACATTAACTGGAGCATCACCAGAGATCTGAAATCATTGAAATACTGTTTCATTTTGATTTAATACCTAGTGTTTTATGTCTTCGATGTAGTAAAGTAAGTTTTTGGGTACAGAGCTGTCATAATACTATTTAAGCAGAATGTCAGAAATCAATAATCCCTACTTTCACCTATCAAACATAATTAGTGATTAATTGACTTATTTCAAACTCGATTGTCTCCAAAATAGCTTCCAGACATCTGTCATAAATATTCACAATGGAGCAGTGGACTATTCATTGTTCAGATAGAAGTTTAGACAGAAATCAGTATTGTGGAAAGATGAGATCATATGTGTACGCGAAATCAAGAAAAATTTTGGCCTTCTGTGACTGATTAGTTGGTAATAATCTGCGGTGTAAATAGTTATTAAATCACCCATCTTATATATTCATGCTACACAATTTACTTTACATAGACGAAATTAGTCAAAGCTATTTAATAATATGAGAGAACAAACCAACTCTCAACTTAAGAAGAAATTAGGAAAAAACGTTGAAAGTGGATAGGACACACACTGAGGAAATCATCAAACCGAATCACGAGGCAAGCGCTAACTTGAAATCCTGAAGAGAAATGAAAAAGAGAAAGGCCGAAGTACACATTGCGTCGGGAATTGTAAGCAGATATGAAAAGGATGAATAGCGACTGGGAAGAACAGGAAAGGATTGCCCGGGACAAAGTTAGATGAAGAATGCTGGTTGGCAGCCTGTTCTCCTCCATGAGGTGTAAGAGGTGAAAGTAAGTAAGTAATGACTATATCTGTTTCTTAATGCTCACTTTGTTAATAATGATTAAAAAACGTTTGATTAAAAAATCGCTTTTATGATTAAAGCAATAATTTATTTGAGCTTTTAAACGGTCAAAATAATAAACGCTGAAGAAAAGGAATATTCTGTTGTTTAAAGCAAAATGAAAAAATATATTCACTCACTTTAGCTAAGTCGACTAGAGTGTTTGCAGAATCTTGGACTTTTCTTTGGTCGAGTTTCATTCTGCGAAGACTATACAGATATATTAGAAACAGTAACAAAGAAGTAAATACACGTTTCCAAACCATAATAACAATTGAATTTAAGCCAAAAGTGATTTTATTCTTCAGAATAGTAATTACAATATTCAACTTATTAAGTTTTCATTGTTTATAAATATTTGTTTTAATTATAAGGAAAGATGGATAGCGGATGGCAATGGAATCAAGGTCGTTTCGTCATATTTCGGACTCGTCAGATGAATGTATCAGCGTCTCAGAGATGATGTTCACTCTGAGACTCGAACCCAGTACTATTCACTTCAAACGTCATCTCATTATCCACGTAGATACTGATTTCTAATAGCCACCTGCTTGTGCAATGGAGTGAAGCTTAAATTCACTTAGTGTTGTTTTACTTGTATCTTCCCATTGTTATTTAGGACTGCAATTGATCAGTCTCTTATTGAATATTCATTTTAATGTTAAAAAGTGGAAAGCTATTGAAAATAGTCATCCTATTTTTATGGTACTCTGAAATTTTATGTGTGATATGGTTTTTATAGTTGATTTTTACAGGTAAACAAACATTTACTAGTTTTAAAGTTGATTATAGCTCAAAAATGTTTGTCATTCTTCCATTGATTAAAAGTATGAAATACAAAAACGAAACCATTCAAAGGAAGCAAATATCCCATTATGGTATAGCTTTAAGATGCTATACTATAGAAAAAATCAAGATATTCTTATATAGATACCTTTATACAGTAGTTATGAGTGATGGAACCACGGACCAATTAATGTTGAGTTTGGTTTAAGTAAAGTCAGTAACTGAGATTGTTTAATCAAACTGACTGTGGCAGTTAAAATGTGTGTTTTAAATGTCGAATAATCAACATTAAGTAGTTCTTTGTGATAGATGTTTATGAAAAGAAACTTTGATGACAATTAGACAAAGTCATGATGATGATACAATGATCCATCGACTTTTGAAGTAGTTGAAACGAAAAAAGAACTTTGATTAGAAACCGTAATGTCCATGAATTGTTGAAAGATGTTAAGTCAAACATTACACATATGTAGATTAATTATAAATCTATTTGTCTAGTAGAAAAAAGCACCGATAGTGATAGTTCATAGAATTAATCATTCACCAAACGAGAAGACTAAAAACTAAGTGAGTATAGGCTTTCTATAATTTAGAGGATGTAATGAAGTGTTAAAAGATTAAATATTTGAAGCTACCGTTATCAAGTGAATGCAAAATTCCCAATGATGTCATTTTGAAAGCATGATTTAGCTTTTATCATATTGATGTTAATAGCTTAAAGAATGCGTAACAAATTTATTTATCAATTGTTTCAAATGATTATTTGTTTTTTTACTGAAACAACTTGTCGGGTAACATATAGGATCTAAAGGAACTAGAAAGATCAGATAACTGATATACAACAAAATTTAAAGGTTAATAATTCACGAGTAAATATAAGAGAAGGAAGTACTGGAACTTTGGAGAAAGGTCCATATTCACAAACCATCAAAATCATGATACAGTAATTCTGTTTACATAGTAGCATTAATGGCTTTGGAACCATTTAATAAAAAATAAACTAAAAGTGGGAGTAACCAAACAGAGGATAGTAAACATTAGTAAGATAATATACAATGAAAATGATTAATGCCTTGCTTAATTGTCAATATTTAAACTGATTGATAAAAGTAAATAATTAATTAAGTCATGTCAAGAAGTAACAAAGAATACAGTTACTATGAAGTAATTGACAAGCATTTACATTATTAATTGCATCTGTTTTTCTGCCTATTAGTTTTAATTCTAGTAGAAAATGCTAAGGACTACCATCTGACGAATAAGCTTCAAGATGGTACACTGTTTCGTCTTTATTACTTTCCAAACATATTTTATATGTTACATGGTTTATTCTTTATCTTTAGAGAAGGGTTTTTGTGGATAATATATTAATTTCATTGATTGTTATCATGAATTAATTGAAGGTAGACAACTATGGAAAACCTGGAAGCACTGGACGGTCGTTTTGTCTTATTGTTAGACCCCCCAACAGTGCGTATCCACGATTCCGCCTCGTGGGATTAGAGCCCGGGACCACTATACTACTGAACTGGCCGGTATCCAACGCTATTAATGTTATTCCATGAAACTGCGCTTCCGTCCACCATTGTAATCAGTGAGTTACTATCTCACAACAAACCCGGTTGAACTCCATTAGTCACTGCTTCTCACTAGAACTCCAGGAAATACCTCTTGGAAACAGTCATTGGGTCTGTTGTCGTGGTCTAGCTTCGATTGATTCATGAATTTAACTATTAAATTATTCATTATCTATTTATTTCCGGTCAAACCAAAACATGGCATCAATGCTTGAAGTCACTAATTTCTAGTCTGAGCCATGTTGGTAGATACAGACTACTTGTTTGGGGTCTGCGTGGCTATCGTAACCAATGGTTACAGACTCTTGTTGACATGGCTAAGAATCGATCACAATGGCGTCGGTGTATACACTCTCTGTCTTCCCTTAAACCATGAGAATAAAATCGCTTCACATCTTTCTTTCTACCAACTAATTCTTTCTTGCTGTACTATATCCTTATTGCAATTTTTCTTTTATATATTACCACTTCTGAATTAACTACTTTTATGAATCCGGTGTTCATCTTGTTGTGTTAATGAAGTATGGCAACCTGGATCGATGCATATATATGCCTGATCCTACGTTGTAGCTGACTGACTGACTATTTCCTGTATTTATTGAAATGTAAATAATGCTGTCTTTTGCGGTCATTGATTACATAACCTGAAATATTAAAATTAATAACATCATAGAGAAGATTCATTTTCATAGTTTTCATCAAAGATATTTTTTATAGTATCTTCAATGACACATTGTCGATGTATCCTTGATTACTAAAACGTGATTATTTCTTGGTACTTTTTTTTTCAAAAAATTTAATTTAACTAAAATTACAGGATTTTCTATTTCTGTTTTTTAACAAAAAGAAAAAAAAACAAAATAAAAAAAAGAACAAATAAACTTTTTGTTTGTTTGCTTAATCGTTAGATGAACTTGAAATTTTAAATGATGACCCATTAGATATGATAATTTATTGGTTTTTATGTTAACTTAATTAATCGATGAATGTGTGAAGTACAATAAGAAGTGACGTTTATCTTAATCAGTTATAAGATATATAGTTACTTATTAGAAATGAAATGAACCTAGCTAATGGAAATTACTAAAAGTAATGCAAAGAAAATCATGAAATCAGAATTCTAAGTGTAAAAGAAGTAAAAATATACTCGGTTATTAATTATGATCTCTAGTAACTTATTAATTTAAAGGTTAAATCTCATGCAAACTCAACAAGACTGTATAATATTCTCGTTAGTATCATTTGTAATGTCTCTCTGAGTGTAGTTAGTTCAGAAGTTATTTTTTTCACATGTTTAATATGTTTGTTGTTGTAAAAAGTTTCTTCTATACATTAATTGACAACTGAGTAAGAGGTCATTTTTCTGTTATCAATTTGTTAGTGCTCATGAAACTTTGATGACTACAAGCTTTTTAAGCAGAAGTGAATAGTGGCTAACAGTGGAATCCAGGACGCACGTTTCGTCCTAGGTGAGACTCTTCAGCTGGATGTACTTGAATATCGGTGTTGATGTTCACTCCGGGACTCGAACCCAATATCGTTTGCTTCAAATGCCAACAAGAGATTGATCAACTGTAGTCTTAAATAATAATGGGAAGATACAAGTAAAACAACACTAAGTGAATTTAAACTTCACTTCATTGCACAAGCAGGTGGCTATCAGAAATCAGTATGAGTGAATAATGCGATGGCGTTTGAAGTGAATAGTACTGGGTTGGAGTACCGGAGTGAACATCAACTCTGATATGCAGGTACACCCATCTGACGAGTCCGAAATATGACGAAACGCACGAACTTGATTCCACTGCGATCCGCTATCCATCTTTGCTTAAAAAGCTTGTGACTTAAGGCTATATCGAGGCAATCCTCACAATATGCATATATGTCAACAAGAGACTGATCGATTACAGTCCTAAATAACAATGGGAAGTTACAAGTAGGATCAACATCAAGCGAATTCTTTTGACTACAGTTTACTGTTTCAATGAATCAGTAGTGCACTCAGTTTTATATAAGATTATTTGATAAATTCAACAGCAAAATGTGAAATTATATTTGGTACTAGCTGGCAGTTGTCAACATGGTTTGTCTGTTGATAATATCTTCCAATAACATTGTTTTTCGTCATATTCATTCTCCACACATCATTTTCACACTCATTTGACTTGATCAACGAAATTTCGCTTTTGTGTACACTGATTATACAAAATTGCTGAGTGAATTGCCTCGGGACTTTTAAATTTCTAGTCAAGATGTTTGACGAATATTTGTTACCTTTTTACATTTTAGCAATCGGTTGTTGCCTTTCAACTTTTCTTGATATAAAGTATTACATTTTGTGATTGAATTTATTGAGAATGTAATAGAACTGTAGTGAAGGAGTACACAGGTTAGGACAACTGAATATATTCAGCATAAAATTACAGAGTTACTTGGTAAAATAGAAAAAACCCGCTATAACACTTAATTTACAAAATGTTCAATAATTCTCTCGAACTTCATTGTTCTTGCATTTTCATACTAATTACTTTCTATTCCCGCTCTTCCTTTCTTGATCTTCTCCATCTTCTGCTGCCAGACATTACATTCCTGACTCGCGTCATATACTACTTATATCAATATAAGTAGCACGCACCACAGAACTACTTCATTTTTCAGGAAATGTAAAATCTCATTGAATCAGCAATTTTTCGCTGAATGTATTTATCATAAACGACATTTTATTAAGATAAAACTGAATGAATCATTATTTAAAATGGTACGATACTTAGCTAAAAAAATTTAGAAGTGAGTTTTCTTGTTATGTATGAATATCATCGTTATCAGTACTAGTAAATTCTAAGGGAAGTTTAGTGTAGGATCAATTTTATAACAATTATCAAACATCTTGATACAGGACATCAGATTGATACCTTACAATTTTTTAAGGTGAATAGCAAGCAGCCAAACTCCAGTCTTCTGAAGTTTGCTGAAGTCGTTGCAATCAGGCGTCAAAAGTGTGACTTATGTGTTCAAAAGGAGATGGTTATTAATCTTCCCTCGCCTTGGCGACAAATATTCCTTCGTTGCATCTTAAAATTTTAAAACTCTTTCTTGCATTTAATACATCATTGAGTTTTATTTCCACTATCTTCCAGATTAGTAATCTTATTTTATTAACTGAGCTCAAAAACTAATTTTATTTCCATCAACGTCTACTCATTATATAATCACTTGTTTCTGGCCGTTTGAACTGTTGTCACAATCAATGTTGTAGAATTTTATTTTACATAAGGTATATATTTACACTATTCAGTCTATTTAATGAATTTACACCCTTGCTGTTCTATACTAATATGTCTGCAACATAACTTCCAACTAAACCCTTTTCATGTAAGTAGTTTGAACCTATTATGTAATTATGATTTCTAAATATCACAGGTTGTAGGCAGCTAACGAGACTCAACAAAATAAAATGAATTCATGGTATTCTACTAGAATCATTGTTCTTGTTCTTTTCAACTTGACAAAGGGAACTATGTGTATGAAATGGTCTAATCGTTGTGTAGTAATAATTAATTAATGATCGTCTGTTTCATTTAATACATTTTCATACAATGATAGCAGTGTTTTTGAACCTAAACTAGTCAAATTCATAATAATAACTAGAGAAATTCTATAGCCATCAAAAACTTACACAAGATTTAAACAATGGAGTTATATCCAATTGTGCTTATCAATTAACGTATGTGAATTTGTATGCTTTCATGATCATAAAAAATGATCGAATGCATGTTTAACCAGCAAATACAACATATATACTGCTGGTTCTATAAAAAGGTTTCTAACAAAAAATAAGTTTGCAAAAGGAAGCTTATCTTACGTTTGCACTGGATCGAATCAGTACTTCTGTGAAAACAAAGATTACACTTTTATCTAAATAGTCAAATAATGAATAGCCATCCATTCTTAATACGAAACTAAAGATCTTTTAGTAAAAAAAAGTCAATATCATGAAAGAAGATCGATTAGGCATAAACCAGGGATCAAGTATACTGGGGATTAATACATCTGCATAAAACTGAAATAAAGGTTTTTTAAAATTTTCACAAATAATAAGTAAAACAGTGACCATTCACTAACATTTGGCTCTTGAAGTTAACAATTCTAAGAGAAAAGATTAATATCTTCACAAATGCAAAAACAGAACTAGTTCACTTATCACAATAGAGAATGGGAATTTGGTTATGAAAATTATGGTAAACACAGGTTTCAGTAAATTGCAAATAAACCCCCCACATAAAATGTAGGAAAACAGTTAGACTGGCAAATAAATTAAGAAAAACTCAAATTAGATTGAACAAATAGATAAACTTACCCATGAATTGCTCTTAAAAATTTACGCTGATGTGTTCTAACTTTAGAAGCATCTACACGTTTGACAAGTTTTGTATATTTGTAAATAAGCCATGTTTCTCGTAGTACATTAGCAGCATAATTTTTAACCTTGAAATGAATTATATATCATGAAACAATAATCATTTCCAATAATTGACATAAGTGAATAGCTTTTGATCATTATAATTTGTTAAAAATAATACTGACTAATATAGTTGACTACATGGAATTAGTAGGATCTTGTATATCTTTGATACTTTAATTCATTATTTCTTTCAATGATATTTCAAAAACGTTTCCGTCAAACCAACGTTACAATACATTTTTGTATTGTTTGTTTGAATCTTCCCATTGATGTTTAAGACTGTAATAGATTAATCTATTATTGGCCTATGTGCATTCTGTACGGACTGTCTCGATATTACCTTGAGTCACAAGAATTATAAGCAAAGATGATGTAGGCACATCCAGCTAATGAGTCCCAGACGGTACAAAACGCGCGTCCTTGATTCCACTGCTAGCCATCATCCATATTTGCTTATAAACTAGTGTTACGTTCACGAGGCGATTAGATAACAATTGGTTTTTGTAACTGTCTGTTATGGAAAGGTAATTATCATTGGGTCTTGTTTGCCTCACTTTTGATTTTGTGGTTTAAATAATATCAAATAAGCAAGTGTTATTTTCAGTGTTAGATCTCATAAAGGTCTTATAACACTATATATTTGTGGAGGAGAATTTATTCAATTGAAGGAACTAAGAATGCAGTTGGAAACAGTTTTAGTCTTTAATAAAAAATATACTTCATAACATCAATTCATTTTTGTATCATTACAACTAATTACCTTTTTATTTAATTGATTCTCCATCATAAAATGAATCACATGCTTTTCTGCTTTAGATAATTCTAATTTTCTAGCGAATACTGCAACAACTAACGCTGTACACCCAGAACCCTGTTGAATAGAAAAAATTATATCAGCACTACTAAAACAAGCTAGTAAAATGATTATGAAAACGACAGCATTAGTTATATTTAAGGTATAAATATTTTTACAGACCAATATTCAATCTAGTTGAAGGGGTTAGTGAAGATTGGCATAAATTTTGGAATATACTTGTCATAAATGTTCTTGCAGTTCGAATAAGAAGTTGTGAATCATGGCGGTCAGATAAATAGCTAATGAAACAATTATCACTGAATACAGTGAATGAATATCACAGTTCTATCTCAAACTGACGAAATTTGAAATTATATGTTATTAGACGCTGATCAATTATTTCTAATAATTAAGCATTTCTGTAATGCCCGAAGGTCTTGAATTCGATTTCTGGTGAAGTTGTGGGTGCGCACTGATAAGGAGTGAAATGCTAGGACGAAATAGTTACTTGTCGACCCCCTCCACTACCACTAGTTTTCAATTACACCTAAGATGACATCAGACTGTGAAGAAGACAACCTACACATCAATAGGTAATTGTTAGTTAATTGCGACAATATGTTGAAAGTGCTAGAGTAAAACATAAGAAACGGTTGTGGTATGAAGATACTGTGTGTTGAATACAACAAATCTATACTATGCCTAATTGGTAACACGAAACTTGAAAGAAGATGGCTGTTTAACTTGCCTAAACCATTTAAAGACGTTTTTCAGTTATTAAATGAATCCTCTGGTCATATGTAAGCAGTATTAAATATATTACTGTAAAACACAAATATTAATTTTGATACTTATACAGTAAACGTTTTAACCCAAATCTGTACACTGTAATGTAAATCCGGACTGAATCGGAACAGGTGATAGGACATTGAAATAGACCAGCTGAAACAGTATGGCCTCAGCTTATTGATTTTAAGAGTTTTAAACAGTTCATTTCCCAGATGATGAAAGCTGTGCTTCTTTGAAGGATTTCAAGTTTTAGATAGCGATGTGTAGAACGGTAAAGTTGCTTCAGGTGTATTAGCGTGGAAGCCAAATATTATGTTCTTTATAGTTTTCAGTGTTTTTACAGACATTATGAAAGTAGTTAAATATCATTTAAAGAAAACACTACAAATAGTTTTCTCATATATATAAGTAAGCATGGAATTATGGTAAACTGAGAAGTATAATATCATTAATTAATAATATGAATAGTTTAATAATATCTAGAGATTACACAACATCTTTAAGTCCTTTTTTTAAATTTACCATAACCCCTGTAGCTAAAGCAATCACACGACCACAATAGGTATGCGGCACAATATCACCATAGCCAATACTCAAAAATGTAACTGCAATTAACCACATAGAATTTAGTAAACTTCCGTTCTCCGTGTCATAAAAGCTAAAATGTGTGAGAAAAAAATTATATTACACTGTAATTAATATTTAAATCAGAAGGAAAACTATCTTTAAAATTAAACCATTTCCTTGTATCTATTTCCTCGACTACAACCACATTTCCTCAAACTGAATCTCTTTCTTCCATATCTCTTCATAATAAACATAAACAAGTAGATACTTGTAACATTAGAACCATTCAACATATAGAATACCAATAAAGAAGAAGAATGTATTTGTAAAATCTCGGCGAAAGAATTCGAAGTAAATCCAACGTTTCACCTGACAATCTGGTCCAAATACATTCTTTCTCTTTAATGTCTCAAATACTGTGAAACTATTCGATCAAATTTAGACGAAAGTTCTTACATAGAATACCAGTTACTACAAACTTTGGGATATTAAATCTATATATATAAGGAATAAAAAACAAAGTAGATGTCTATTCTTAATCAAATACTATAACTTTTCATTTGTTTATTTGTATAGTATACGAAAAATCCTTTTAGTAGTTATGTCGAACAGTTTATTTCAACGGAATAAAAGAAACTATACATTTTAAATGTAAAAGAATCTAAGAAAACAATTCATAGAATTGACCTTAACTTGTAGAACAGCTAAATCGTATGACTACACAGTAATCGAAAGGTGTTTACTTTCACTAATGGAATACACCCAAAGTATGACCAGATAAAATAAAAAAAACGGCTATATTATTAAGCGTTTGTATTGAACTTGTTTGTAATACCGAATGAAGAAGCAAGTTTTTATTAAATTTCTAATTTAGTCAAATAGTTTTATTAAAATTCAGTACTTATTCTAAGTAATTTCGTGGATTGGTTAAAGTTAGATACCGGCCAGCACAATGGTCTAGAGGCTAAGTGTTCGCTCAAGAGACCAATAGGTCCTGGGTTCGAGTCTTGTGGGCGGGATCGTGGATGCGCAATGCTGAGGAGTCCTATACTAGGACGATACAGCCGTTCAGTGCTTCCAGGTTTTTCATGATGGTTTAGCTTTAATCGACTCATGAATTCACCTACTCAGTAATTTCTGTTGAACAGTGATACCAATTAAGGAAATTGTATTTAAAACTAATAAAGTACTGAATAATTTCTTTACATGGATTTAAGCAACTTATCAGTGTGAACTAATCACTCCATAATAAAAAATTCATTTATTTGTTTTCATTGAGTTGACAGACTACATTCTACGTTTATTTATAAGGTATAATGGAGAAACCTCTAAATTATATTCATTTTACATATTAATATTTTCATTTTTAAAAGAATTCGTTAATGATTTGAAACTGGTTTTGCTGTGAGTGGTGAGACTACAGTTTATGGACGGTTTTTGAGAGACTCTAAAGTGACTTTGAGGGTGTCCACCTAATAATTAGGACCAAATCAGGATTACAAACCAGTGTGAAGAATTAAAATTATGATTTACAGTTGATAGTTAGAGATTGGAATTAGATTCAGGGTTTTCATCACGAACTGACATCAGCTATAATGCCGAAACTCTATTTAGTTAAATGGATGGGTGAATTTCGTGCCGAAATCCCAGACCTGTTATCTTACCTGATTGGTTCGTCCATAAATTATAGTGTGGCCCTATGAGTATTAAAATTTCACAAATGCTAAATATCCGCTTTATTAATCCAACAATTTCCTATTTTTTATATTTAAATTATACAGAATCTCCGTGAGATAATTATGGTCTTGTGGATTATAATGCGAGGTGTATAAACATATATTTGATGGATCACTATTCCATCCTCATATTTTCCTTCACCAATCAGTATATTTATTGAAATCATTACTCGATATGATTGTTTGGGATCTAGATTTGACCTCTTACGTCAATCATGTTTTTCCGTTAAAGCGCATACACCCATAGTCCTTAAGGTAAGTAAATCAGTATTATACATTATAACTTAAATCATGAAGGAAAAGGAGTCCCTTTCTTCGCTATCATAGTATGATGAAAAAAACTTACTTTGCTTGGCTAAACTAGACGAAATTTAGCTATTTTCACACAGAAGAGTAACAATGAGAAAAATACTGATTCTACCCAAGTCTGTGTTAATATTTAGCTTTCAGGTTTACAAAAATTAACTTATCAGAATTCAAAAACCGCATTCATGAACCTGTTTGTCTGTCTCCAAGGTATATTTTTCTGTACCTGAACCAGTTATGTTTTGCGGCTTTTTACGACAAATAGAAGAATACGAAAGGTTTCGAACCTACAGTATTATTTAAGCACTCAGCTATTAATTCATTTCCGACATGAAAAAACGTAATAATCTATTACATTATAATATGCAAACGTTTTCACGAAAATTTATGATTTTTAATATCAAATATCTTCTAAATTTATGCACAGAACATTTATATCAAATATAAACAAGGGCAGTATAGTACAATACAATACAGAAAAAATAGCAGAAAAAGAATTATAAGATAATAAATATGAAGGTTCTTGAGTGTAAGTTGAAAATACAAAAGAAAGTTGATGACGGAATTTCAGGAACTAAATGTATATCCACATGGTATTGTTTACTTGTATCTTCCGATTGTTGTTTAAGACTTCAGTTTATCAGCCTCTTGTTGGCATATGTGCATCCTGTGCGGATTGCCTCGATATTACCTTCAGTCACAAGCTTTATGAGCAAAGATGGATGGTGGATAGCAATGGAATTCAGGACGCGCCTTTCGTCCTATTTGAAGCGAACGATGGTGGATTCGAGTCCCGAGGTAAACATCAATTCCGTGATGCAGGTATATCCATCCGACGAGTCTTGAATAGGACGAATCGCGCGTCCTGAATTCCACTGCTAGCCGCTATCCATGTTTGCTCACTAAATGCATATGTATCAGCGTTTTAGCTATCTGTAATATTTTACCTATATACTTACAGTTTTACTGACAAACAGTAAGAAACTTTACAAACTGGTTAAACAGTCCATTAACTAATCAAAGCCTTATAACTTTATAATATTTAAAAGTACTTTATGAAAAGATTTTTTAAAATCTGTCATGAAAACATTTCGGAATATATATTTTTAAGTAAATATTAAACTCACCTTTCACATGCTCTTAATGTCCACGAATAAACAATCCATAGACATAATATAAAACCAAGTAGAAGCTTTCCAGGACACATAGTCATTAAAGTTTTAAAAATAAATCTTGTATCAAAATTAACTTTGTTCATAGCTCCAATACTACGTGATCCAGCATCAGTAAACAATTTCGAATGTAATAACATAACACGAAACAATAAATATAATCTAAAAAACATTGGTACAGAAAGAATTAAGTCTATTGATACAATTTTAACTGAATGACTTTGTACACTATCGAAAGATGAGAATGTAGATAATGATGGTAATGATGATGTTGACACAATTGACGTAGAAGTAATGGGGGTTGTAAATGTAGATAAACCAGAAAATGGTCTAAAATTAACAGTCCTATTTGTAGCTTGTCTAGTTGTCGTTCGCGTAGTGTTGTGCAAAGTTAATGACTTAGTTGTTTGCTGACTATGATAAACAGGTGAATAAATTTCTGTTCCTGGACCGACTAAGGCAGACGATACAGGGAATTCTATAAGATATGATCCTGGAAATGGATGTATAATACAGATAAGCACTTCAAGTGTCATTTGAAATATACGATTACAATCTACTGCCATTCTCCAATCTTCAATGGAATCATCACAAGAAAATATCTAAAATAAAGAATAATTGAATTTAGCTGAATGAGACGAAATTTAAAGTACTTTAACTAACAAATAGAAAATAAAAATATTTATTGTCATTGATTCTTTCGTTTTTTCTGAAGGTTGATGAAATGAAAATTCAACAAAAATGGACTCCATAGGTTTTCATTTCGACTAATACAAAGAATCATTTTAACTTAGATTTATTCATTTTAGACAAATTTAGATCAGTCATTGTCATGGATACACATCATTTTTGAAACTTCAAATTTTCTGGAGGTCACTTGAATCTGTAAATTCGACATCTAGTGATGCTGGTTTGATTCTCATGAAACCAATCAACTGCTATAAGACCATGAATGAATACACTTTCTTGATAAGTATCAAACAGTATGAGTTTTAGGTCAAAGATTTCCTGCTAATTACTGACATTCACTTTATATTCAACACGACATGTTGTTGTGTTGAATTCCTTAGACCGTCAATTATACGAGAACCTGGTAGATATCTCACTCAAGTCCCCTTAGATAATTCATGTCTAGTCTTAATACACTTACTACTGTCTTTTCTAGCTTCAAATTTATCCTAGAAAGCCTGTTAATCCACGCATTCTGAGAAAAGTGATTATTTAGTATAAACTTAGCTTTCTGATCTAGAATTCTTATTTGGAGATACTTCATTATGACTCATTTGAGTGGTTAACTTAAGAAAAGTTTCATTACTAAGGTACATAGTTATTATGTAACAGCCTAAATTCAAAACTATTTTATCGTATACTACAATAGTTAACTTATTTGACAATGAAATATTATTCTTTATTTAATGTGAACATTATTTCAATATTCAATTGTATAATCGGAATTAGTTTTAAAAGAGAAAGAAACAACAATCACTCACCTTGATAACATAAACATGATAAGCTAAAATCAAACCCAATAAAATACAAGTTGATATTGATATACACGTTTTTGTTATAAATGAATAAATGGAATCCTGTAATTGTCAGAAAACAAAACAAAACAGAAAGGGAGGAGAAATAATGGTGAATTAGTTTGAATGAAGATATTTCACATCATAATAGTTTAGAGAAATAATGAAGCATGGATCCCAGAATCGTGATGAAACAGATGGCGTAATAACCTGCTGTTGGTCACAGCCTACCATAGGACGGCATGTCCTAACGTTGCTCCACTACCTTGTTAACTAAACTTTCAGGCCAAAGGTTTGGGAAACCGGGCAGTACCTCAGCCGTCACACAGATCGAATAATTTCTTTGGCGCATATCTATTTGGTGCCTCCTTGTATCATTATATATGTGTTTAAATAAATAAATATATAAATAAAATGTTACTTTTAGGTAAACGTTAAACCTCAAAGTTAATTTTAAAGGGATTTCTGTAATTTCTTCACAATACTTAAGTCAGAGTTAAAAAGAAGTACACAGTGTGTAACTCCAGTAAAATGATCATCTGAGGTATGAATTTTCTGTATTATCTTAAGTACATAAAACACACCCTGTTTATAAATCATAATATAATTACGATTATTATTATATATCTAAGCTAACTAACACACTAAATTAGCTATTTTTCTCAAAAGAATGTATGTATGTATGTCTATATTGAGCCTTATTCTCTGATTAAAATTAAAAAAAATTCTTTTTGATTAAAATCATGAGTCATTTGAAGCTAGACCACCATGGAAAACCTGGAAGCACCGGATGGCCGTTTCGCCCTAGTATGAGACACCTCGCCTGTGTTCATCAACGATTCCACAATCTGTGGGATTCGAAAACATGACCTATCAGTCTCGCGCAAGGTGCTTAACCAACTAGATCACTGAGCCGGCATCCATTGATTTCAATGTCTAACCTCAACCAATCCACGAAATTGCCCAACCATCTTCCATCCAGTGCTTCCAGGTTTTCCATGGTGGTCCAGTTTCAATTGACTCATAATTTCAATCAAAAACTTAACAATCTCCAAAACCCCTAAATTAAGAAAAAATTAACCATCGGAACTTTGTTTTCTGTATTAATCAACAGATGTATATAATAATAATAATTGTCATTATTATTATTGGGTGCAATTCATGAGATCAGTTTTCTCCTTTATTCTTTCAAATGTATTAGGTCATAATAAGCAATAAAATACATAAAAAAATATCTTAATAAAACAATAAACTAATCATTACTCCTTTTCAATGAAATTATAATACAATTATATCTTGTCTTTACAGGTGATACATAATTAAGTCAATGAAAGTTAATTATCAAAAGATGAACAAACAAAATGTCTTAAATAATAATAGATTCCCTTTTTTTATTATTATTTATTAATAGTTTACCATTATTCTCTATACTAATGACCTTGTTTACAATTATTATTATTATTATTATTATCCCCCTTTTTTGTATATTCTCAATATAAAACAAAATACATTTATGTTTGAGTTCATCTATATTTAGTGCATCAAAAGTATTAAAAAAAGAAAAGAAAATAAACATTTAAATTACAAATAAATAAAAGATGTTTTATCAATGTTAATTACTTTGACCTGAAGAATTCTCATTAAAAAAACAAAAAAAAACAGGGAGAAAAAAACAAAAAAAAGAAAACAATGTATTTGATGATAGTCAAATGATAATCGTGTTATCATATTAAGAAATTCAAGAAAAAAATATACACATATCAAATACATGAAAATTAAACTGTCCATTTGTACATAAACAAATCTTAATGAAAGTTCTTGGAATTGGTACTATGGTTTTATCTTACCAGTAAGGTACAACAAAAGAATTATAAATAGATATTGACAATGTATGTAGTGGCTATGCTTCGTTAACCGATCACCCTCGTAACCGTTATCAATATAATCTTCAATGGTGTTTGAAATCAGAAGGCAAAGAGAAGCAGCGATTATAGTTTTATTAGCAGATAACTCAGATCACAAAGCAGTGAGGCGAATGAGTGAATCAGCGAACCGAGAGAGTAGAGTGTTAAATGTACATGTATATATATATATATATATATATATATATATATATATATATATATATATATATATATATATATATATATATATATATATATATATATATATATATATATATATATATATAGGGAAATGAATGGATCATCGAATCAATTATTCAGCTAATAATAAAGCTAGCAGAATGAATATATGGGTAGGCGGTAAGCAATGTTCAAGTATACATATTTCATACAAGCACAACAATAATAAAGGTACAATAAGTTGTTATAGTATGGATGACTTTGCTAAATAAGTTAACAAAACAGCTTAACTGGGTTAAATGAGAACAAACTCAATTGCACGTGAGTTGCTATATGTACATAATTAAAACTTTCTATAAGACAACTAACAAACTTTAAGAAACGCTTTAGTTGGAATAAAAGATATAATCTCATTTACTTCAACACAAAATTATGTCTACAGATTAGGTTGTGTCGATTGTGATACATTCTATATTCGAGAGTCTTTCTGTGAAATATTGACTTGTGGCGAAGAACACTTAAGTTACACAAAAAGACCTCTCAATAATCCTGCAGATTAAATCAGCAATAACAATAAGCACCAAATTGATATTAAAAATGTCAAAATAATTCAAAAAAGCTTTTCCAACTATAAAAAGAGGCGAATAGCCGAAGCGTTCCACATTATGCTAAATCCCTCTGCCCTCAATAGGAAAGAAGTTCTGAATATTTATCCAATTTGGACTATTTATTCAAACAACCTCAACGGACACAAAACCACATCCCCCTACTTCATATTACAAATGCGTACATTTTTGCATATCCACACTGTGATACGGAAATTAATATTGTGACAGGATCTCTAAAATTCCAGCGGAAAAGTGTTAACTATTGGGACAATAAGACTGCATATGATCTATTTACTCATCGATGAAATTATATAAAAAATATGCTAGACAATGAGTTGATAAAATTAAAAATGTTAGAACATCGGGTTGGGATTCACTGACCAAACAGCTTCGCGTGACCTGCAAACTTTCAGTTTGTTGTGATGATTAGTTATAAACCATATTGAAAAATATGTTCAGTTCTCTGATTGACAAACTCCAACTGACAAAATTGTTTACAAAGTCAATCTTCTGATTTGACTGACGTAGCATAAAATCATGAAGTTTCTTATTGATTAGTCTTATTTGCAACAAAAAGTGCAAATTATCTGGTTAATGTTAAATCCCAATGAGAATATTGAATGGTAACTGTTGAAATCTATTTCTGGACTAATACTATACATATATTTTCATTGTAGAGTTATTAAGTAGCTAAATTACCCATATTCGTGTTCCCCTTATTATAGGCTTTATTTTGACCTATGAACTACTATTATACTATTTACCATTATTGAGTTATGTCCTGTCTATCAATTACTACCTCCTACATTTACAGCCACTTTTGGCTAAATCCTGTACAAATGTTATTTTCTATTTTATGGTACGATGTGGTCTGTTTGGTTTGTATATAAACCCAGTATGTTTGAAATACATGATTTATATCACTGAGGCTGAGATTTGTGTTCTTGACTTAGCAGGCAGGGCTGGGCAGGAAGAAAGACCGATAAAGACTCTAGACTGCTCGTACGGGTTTTGTGAGTCATTGGTCCGGTCGGTAATTCACTGTTCTCTAATTGGCAGTATCATTACGTTTTATAATAATAAGTCACAAGGCTACAAGTTATAACGGTTAGCTTATGGCTTGAAATAGATCATATTGGCACATATGTATCCATTATATATCTGTACAGTAAATTTTCATGTTTAGTTCTCTTATTTTCATTGGTGTTGATGTTTCAACCTCTTCGATTTCCATTTGGTCAATCTTATCTCTTTTATTCTAATATATTCTACAGTGACATTGTCAGTCCCTTAATAAATAAACACTTTTTCGGTACCTTTATTTGTTACGTTATTTTGTCGCTAGATTCCATAAATTTTGTATATTACTAACGGACATATTGTAGATCACTGAAAACAAGTAGCATATATTTACGATTGTAAAGTTCTGAAAACCAAATAGATAGCAAAACATTTCTTAACTGAACAAATTTCAGTATTTTAGGTGTAAAATATAGGAACCTACTTCACTACAACTTTATGCCACGTTCTAAATTGTTTATTATGATAACACAAATGGAACTACAGAGAATTATGAACAATTCGTAGCCATATTCTCCTGTCTTTTTAGCCAACATTATTTAATAACGCTTAAAATCTAAGCTGTGAATCTGTAAGAACCTGAATACTTAGGCTAATATGACGGTCAGTGGTTGCATTAATAACACTTTATGTCTCATCAAACTTATTAATTTCTTACTGAATGTCCAGTAGTCATTGTATTTTGTAACTTTTTTTCCTACATTCATTTCATTCGGTGGTTAAGGGGCGTCCACTTATAATAAAATGACACACCTTAACATGTAAATAATTAAGGCCACAAAACATTCTTTTTGAATACAATACCATAAAACAACATATATTTGTTTAAGGTTAATTTAGGTAACTAAAAGAAAAGAAAAGAAAAGAAAACCACACAGTTTTGTTTTGTTTAACAAAGTAAAGATGAAAATACAATAAAACTTTCAGAAGATGTTTACTAGAACATTAGATAGAGGGAAATGTAAATTTTATTTATACCGTTAATTTTATTTCCTAAAACTGAAAGCGATTTATGTTACTTACTGTTGAATAAATATGAAGCGCTAAGTTAGTTTGGAATGTTTACCATTAAAAAAATAAAGTTATTGAGAATTTAAAAAAATATTATCTTCAGAAAGGGATTTTGTGGATATTATAGTCATTTAATAGCTCAGCCTGGAGTCCCTCGGGGGCTACTGTCGGTCCCAAACCCGGATAAAGTAGGAGGGTTAGGCATGGGATTAACGACTCCATCCCGTAGAAAACTAACTCGCTAAAAAACGCTAACCAGAAGGAATTATTCAAACGTTTT